TTAATGATTTTGGGGGAGAGCTATTCATTCCACTGCATTTGGTCCCTGGCCCCACAAAACTCATGTCCTTTTCACATACATTCATTTCATCCCCAAAGTCTTAACTTGTTTCAACTCAAAAGTCTGAAGTTTAAGATCCTTTCTGTGAAATCAAAACAAGTTATCTACTGCTGAGATACAGTGGTGGGACAAGCCTAGGGTACATATTCCCATTCAGAAAGGGAGAAATAGGCCAAAAGAAAGGGGTAACAGGTCCCAAACAAGTCCAAATCATGTACCTTGACTCCATGATCGACATCCTCTGCACACTGGTGTGGAGGTTGGGTCCCTAAGTCATCAGGAAGCTCTGCTTCTGTGGCTTTCCTAGTCTGAGGCCATGCATCAGCTCTGCCAGGCTGGCATGGCACGCTGGTAGCTCTGTAGTCCTGGGGTCTCCATGGTGGTCCCGCTCTCATGGCTCCACTAGGCATGGTGCTGATGGGGTTTCTCTGCTGCAACTCTGACTCCAAGTTTGTGCTTGGCATTGCTCCAGTGAAGGCTCTAAGCGATGAATCTACCCTTGTAGCAGATCTCTTCCTGAGTCCCCAGGTTGTTCTATACATTCTTTGAAAATGGGGTGGAGGCTCTCAGGCCTTCACAGCTCTGGCATTCTGCAAGCATACAGACTTAGCACCACGTGGACACTGCCAAGGCTTCTGGCTTGTATCTTCCAAAGCTGCGGGTCCAGTCACACCTGGGGCCAATTTCGCCATGGTTGGAACAGCCAAAGCAACCAGGGTGCTACTATGAGCACCAGCATCCCAAGGTGTCCCTGGGCAGTGAGCCTATTGAGGGTGCTGTGGGTCTGTTCTCCAAGACTATTCTGTCTCTCTAGGCCTCTGAGACTGTAATGGAAGACACAGCCTCCAAAATCTCTGAAATGCCTTCAAGGCATTTTTGGATTGGATTCTGATGACCATGCCCTAAAGAATAGATTGATAATGGTGGTCATGGGGATGGTTCTGGGAGCTTTGAAGGGAGAACACATAATAGTCTCTCTCCCTCTGCTCTGCCATTTTCACAATGTGAGACCTTGTGTCACTGAAATCACCACCAAAGAAGACCCTCACCAGACATGTACCTTGGACTTTGGACTGCCCAGCCTCTAAAACTATAAGCAATAGATTTCATTTTCTTATAAATCACCCAATTTCAAGCACTTTATTATAAGCAACAGAAACAGACTAATACAGAAAATTGGCACCAGAGAAGTGGGGTGTTGCTTATAACAAATACTTGAAAATGTGGAAGCAGCTTTGGAACTGGGTATTCAGGAGAGGCTGGAAGAATTTGAAGGAGCAGGCTAGAAAAAGCCTAGCTGCTGGTATGAGTTTAGAAGATAAGAAAACCAGGGGAAGTTTGGAATGCCTTAGGAAGTGGTTAAGTGGCCATGAGCAGAATGCTTATAGAACTATGGACAGAAAAGGCCATTCTGAGAAGATCTCAGATGTAAATGAGAAGGGACTTATTGGAAACTGGGGTAAAGATCACCCTTGCTATGAACTGGCAAGGAACTTGGCTATATTCTGTTCATGCCCCAAAGTTTTACAGAATGTGGAACTTCATGGTGCTGACCCAGGGTATTTGGTGGAAGAAACTTCTAAGCAGTCAAGCATTAAGGAAGCTGCGTTGCAACAGCCTACCCCCTGAGTTATGGCAGCAAAGGCATGACACAAAGCCAGAATTTAAAAGGAAAGCAGAGGGTAAAGGTTTGGGAAATGTGGTAGAGAAGCAGAGAGCATTTTCAGGAGAACAATTCAATGTTGTAGCCCAGTGACTGTTTGCTAAGTAGATTAATACAGAAGAAAGAGATTATCAAGGGAAGGGAAAAAAGCATTCAATCCACTAGATATAATAACTATACACACTACAAAAGATATGAAGAAATACATTGAAAAGTTCCTCTCCTACCTCTGCATCCCTCGGTCTCCTTGGAGACAATTTTTTGTTTGAAATTTTTGTGTCTCTTAGATTGCATGATCTGTTTTTTTAAAGGATACATTAAGTCACATAAGATATTTTTCTCTTGAATGATATGCGTAAGGATATAATAACAGTGTTTTGAGGACTTGTTTTTTGTACTAAATCCAAATGTGGGCCTTAAATAAAGAATATTTTCTTTGTAATTGAATTAGTCCATTTTTGTGTTTCTACACAATATCTGAGACTGGGTAATTTATAAGGAACAGAGGTTTATTTGTTTATGATTCTGGAACAGCTGTATCTGGTGTGGGCTTCAGGCTGCTTCTACTCATGGTGGAAAGTGGCAGGCAGCCAGCGGGTACAAGCAAGTCATATGGCGAGAGGAAGCAAGAAAGAGAGAGGAGGTGCCAGGGTCTTTTAAACAACCTACTTTCACGGGAACTGATAGAGTAAGAACTCACTCATTAGCCCCCACCCAGGGAGAGCATTAATCTATTCATGAGGGATCTGCCCCCATGACTCAAACAGCTCCCAATACTGCCACATGCGGGGTTAGATTTCCACATAAGTTTTGGGGGGGACAACACAGTCAAACTCTATCACTAATAATAGTAAAAACCTTTATTGTTTTTCCTTAACATTTGTAGGTATATGTTGAGGGGCTGTAAATCCCATGCCAGAGTTTTATGAGGAAAGAAGATCTTTAATATGATGTGTTAAGACTGTGATCTCATTGCTTTAGTATTTCTTTTGTTAAAGAAGTTGAGCATCTTTTCTTGTGTTCATATTTCTTATATCCTATCTTTTTCTAGAATATTATTCATCTTTTTTCTAACTGATTTGTAAGGCACTTTTTTTTCCTTCATTTTTACATATAGTAGAGAAAAATTAGCCCTTTGTCATATCTGTTGAACTCATTTTTTTTTATTTGCTGTTTGTCTTTTACCTTTGTTTCTGATATATTTTACCATTATAATTTAACTTTTTTTTTTTTTTCCTTTTTGTCTTTTTTCATGTCCGGCAACGGATCGCAACCCTCAGTGTCGCGCCCGTACCGGCCCGGACCGGCAACGGGATCGCAACCCTTGGTGTTGCACCCACACCTCGCTCAGCCAGTGAGCGGGAACCAGTCTATATGTGGGATCCGAACCCTCGGCGGGAGCGCCGCCGCGCTCCCAAGCGGTGCACTGTAGCAGTGCGCCACCGGGCCGGCCCTATAATTTAACTTTTAAGTGGCCAAATTTATCAGTGTTTCATGACTTCTGGATTTTATTGAACAGTTAGATAGGCTTTTCCTATTTAAGAGTTAAAAAAAATATCCAGTCCTGTTTTCTTCTAATATTTTCATGCTTTAATTTTTTACATTGAAATCTTTGTCCCATGTGTAATTTATTCTGGAGTAGGAAGATAGTAATATAGCCTTATGTTTTTCTAGATAGCAAGCACTTAATCCAACATTATTTATTAAATAATCAATATTTTCGGGCTGAACCCATGGCTCACTCGGGAGACTGCAGCGCTGGGAGCGCAGCAGCGCTGGGAGCGCCGAGGCTGCAGGTTCAGATCCTATATAGGGATGGCCGGTGCGCTCACTGGCTGAGCGTGGTGTGGGTGACACCAAGCCAAGGGTTACGATCCCCTTTCCGGTGACAAAAATAAAAAAAAATAGGGATGGCCGGTGCGCTCACTGGCTGAGCATGGTGTGGGTGACACCAAGCCAAGGGTTACGATCCCCTTTCCGGTGACAAAAATAAAAAAAAATTTTTTAAATAAAAATAAATAAATAATCAATATTTTCTCCACAGATTTTAAGTCCTATGTGTATCATATACATAATTACTGTATATTCTTGGATTTGCTTCTAGATTCTCTATTGACTATTTTCTGTATTTCTTTGCAGTGTCACACTATATACTAATATCTCATTGTGGTAGCTCCATTTATTACTACTTCTTAAAATTTTTTGCCTGTTAATTCAACAAATTTTATTGATCACTTCCAATATGCTAGGCACTGTTCTAAATATTGGGATTTATTATAGACCTGGGGACCCAGCAGTGAACGAAGTCCCTGCCTCTACAGAGCTTAGATTCTAACAGTAGGTTTGGTCAATTTTATGTTCCAGATTTTTAAATCTGCCTTCATTTATATCAATTCTGTTAGTCATTACATTATTCATGAGTTTATTTATAAATTATTATTCATTAGTTATTTGCAATAAATTCATTCAGTCATTTATTTACCAAATATTTATTTAGAATTGCTAAACAATAGGTCCTCTTTTAGGGGCCAAGAGTGCAGTGGTGAGTAAGACAGACAAGTTTCCTGCTCTTTTATTTTAGTAACGAGCAAACAAGATAATGTCAGCTAAGTGCTACATGGAAGACTGAGGTGTAGGGAGCTGTGGAATAGGGTGACTCTCAGGTGGCTTTAGATTTGGTAGTCAGGGAATAAAGAGATGACATTTCACCTGAGAGATGAGAAGGGAACAGTGATGCAGTGACCCAGGACAGGGGACAACAAGCATGAAGGCTGTGTGTTTGGCATGGTTTAGGAAAAGCAAGGAGGCCAGCGTGGCTGCATCATTGTGGTGAGGGGAGGTGGTAGCACAAGAAGACAGAGAACTAGGCAGATCATGGAGTGCTTTGGGAAGCAGAGCTTGCAGTTTATAATTTATTCCCATGGGGGGAACGTGAAGCAGTGGTGGCTATGGAATGCAGCAGGAAAACCAGGGGACTGCTCTTTTCTTTGCTTTCCCATTTGACAACTCCTATTAATGCCACTACTGCATGCTACTCACTTTGTGTCTGTCCACTTTTAGAGTAGTTCTTACCCATATTGTATTATAATTATTTGTCTCCCCAGCAACTGGGGATTTTAAGAGCAGGTACCATATTGAATTTCATTTTGTATGTCCAGCTTCTCTTGCACAGTGTGCCACAGTAAATAACAAACACATGTTTACTGTTGAATTGACTGATCAAATTTTATATTAAGTTTAATCATCATGTATTAAAATGTGTATGTTTTTTTTCTAGAGGCGTGGAGCTATTTCCTATGACAGTTCTGATCAGACTGCATTGTACATTCGTATGCTAGGTAAGTATTATTTATTTTGTACAAATATCAATTAATTTTATTTTATTTTTTTCCTTTTTGTCTTTTTTACTGACCGGCAACGGATCGCAACCCTCAGTGTCGCGCCCGTACCGGACCGGGACCGGCAACGGGATTGCAACCCTCGGTGTTGCGCCCGCACCTCGCTCAGCCAGTGAGCGGCTGGTCTGTATGTGGGATCCGAACCCTCAGCGGGAGCGCCGCCGCGCTCCCAAGTGGCGCACTGTAGCAGTGCGCCACCGGGCCGGCCCTCAGTTAATTTTATTATCATATATACAAGAGTACTTCAAAAAGTTCATTGAAAATCAGAATTAAAAGACAATATGAATCTTTCCATGAACTTTTTGAAGTACCCTCGTATTGTTATTTAAGGTTGAGGTGTCTTTTATTGTGTAGCTTTTCATCACTGTTCATAGTAGAAATAATCTATCACATTCAGGTTTAGAGTAGAAATCACATTAATATTGGATGTGATGTGAATAAAGGGAGGCATTTTAGAGTTATAGGTAACTGAGAAATTTCTGGCTTAATAACTGGGACACTGTCTATTAGTGCACAATTTAAATTGTGTACTATGAAGAATCTTGAACATTCTTCATAGAAAATAGTCTTAGATTTGTAGAGTTGCTAAATACTGGAGATGAATGCCCATGAGGCCATGAAATGCCTGATCAGATAGTCCTGTCACTGGCTGTGTCTTGTTCTCAGTTGGCTTGGTGAGGAAAACCATTTGTCGTCTTCTAGTCCATTACATTTTTGATGTTATTACTCAATTCCGTAAGGTAAAATGAATTTAGGTATCTCCATATATGTATGATTTTCTTTCCTTCTCTCTGTGCCAGATTTATCTCTTCATCCACACGTTTCTTAATTCCTTACACTTTAATTCATACTGTTGAATGTGCACTGTTGAGGTTCTCATAGGCGAATTTGCTCATCTTTTCTTAGCAGAGTCTCCCGTGGCTCCTGTCTTCACGCTGAGAATTCCTCCCTCAACTCTGTGGTGTGGAGCCATCGTATTCCTCATCTGTGTCTATTTGTTCTTTGTCTCCCTCACTAATTTCTTTTTATACTCTTAAGGCTATGTGTTTCCCAAGGTCCTGTTTTTGCTTTTATTCCTTTTTTCCCTCTTATATTTATCTTGTGTAGCTCACCTGCCTTAATCCTATTCTACTCTAGTACGTATTTTTCCCTCATGAATTTCAGCCTTTTTCTCATTACTGTCTCCATCTCTCTCTCCAAACATGTTCAGGATTCTGCTATCCTTAAAGCAGAGCTTTAGACCATATTTTATTTAACTCTCTAGAACATGTCCATGTGGGTGCAATATTGATACCTTACACTTAACGTGTCTAAAACAGAAGATACGTGTTCCCCACACCTGCTCATTTTGTAGTCTTTTGTCCTCTCAATAAGTGTAGCTCCATTCTTCCCGTTGTCAGTCAGAAACTTCAGAGTCATTCTTAACTCTTGTTTGTTCAACACTCCACGTCTAATTCATCAACAAATCCTGTTGGCTGATACCTTCAAAACACACCTGGAATCTCACCACCCTGATGCTGTTATATCCCCAAACTAAGCCCTAGATGTTGCCTGGTTTATTGCACTCTCTTCTCAACTGGTCTCCCTATGTGCCTCTCCTACTCAATCCTAGTCTACGCATCCAGGGGAACCTTTTCAGACTATAAGTTGCATCTTCTCATTCCTCTCTTCAGAAACCTCCAGTAGTTTTCTCTCTTACTCAGAGTAACAGCCAAAGCTGTAATAATGGCCACAAAGGCCCAGCATTGTCTGGCCCTACTGTCTCTCTGGCCTCACCTCCCGCCAGGTACCCTCACTCACCTCACTTCTGCCATGCTGGCTTCTGCTTGCCCTTGGACGTGCTGAGCATGCTGTCACCTGAGGGTGTTTATACTTGCTCTCCTTATGCCTGGGAACCTCTTCATCCCCATAGACATGGCTCACTGCCTCCCTTCCTCCCAGTCCCTCCCAGATGCCTCCTTTGCAGTGAGGCCCTTTCTGACCACACCAGTGAGTCAGCCTGCCCCATTCCTCCTTCCCTGCTGCTCTTACCTTATTTTACTTTCCTCCATGGAACTCGTTACATCTTCCATAGAATGAAGTATGTATATATTATTTGTCTCTCTCACAGAATGATAGGCTTCATGAGGACAGGCCCTGTATGTATTTTGCCCACTGCTCTGTTTCCAGTGCCTGACATGTAGTGGGTCTCAGTAAACATGTGTTGCAGTGAAGGAATCACCACAGCAAAGAGGTGATTAGTCTTTGTAGGATGGAGTCATGGTAGGTGAAATGAGCCTTGAGGGAAATGATGGTCTTAGAGAAATAAAGAGTAAGCAGGAAAGCCTGCTAGGCCAGCAGAATTGCAAGAGCTCAGGGCTAGGGGCTGAAGCCTCCTGACAGGCTATGAACATGGAGGCTGTGAAAGTGTAGTGGAGGAAGAGCTGTCTTTGGAACCCACGGAGCTAGGTGTAAATCCTGGCTCGCCCTTTGCTCTAGCTTTGTGGCATGAGGCTTTGTAAATCCTGGCTCGCCCTTTGCTCTAGCTTTGTGGCATGAGGCTTGCTATTTAACTTCTCAAAGTCTGTTTCTGCATCTGTAAAATGGGAATAAGATTCCTATCTCTTAGGGTTGATTAGAGAATTAAATAAAATAAGACCAGGTGTAAATCCTGGCTCGCCCTTTGCTCTAGCTTTGTGGCATGAGGCTTGCTATTTAACTTTTCAAAGTCTGTTTCTGCATCTGTAAAATGGGAATAAGATTCCTATCTCTTAGGGTTGATTAGAGAATTAAATAAAATAAGACTGTGTATTAGTCTGTTTCTGTTGTTTATATCAAAATATCTGGAACTGGGTAATTTACAAAGAAAATGAAATTTATTGCTTACAGTTTCTGAAGCTGGAAGGTACAAAGTCCAGGGAACACATCTGGTGAAGGTCTTGGTGGTGGTGTCGGTGATGGCACCATATCACATTGCAAAAATGGTGGAGCAGAGAGAGACTAACCTCTTAATGTGTTTTTCTTTTAAAGCCCTCAGAACCACGCCCATGACCACCATTATTAATCCATTCACTACAACATACTCCTACAATGTAATCACCTCTTCAAGGTCCCACCTTTCAATTCCATAATAAGATTTCCCACCCTCAGCAGTTACAGTGGGAATTAAGCTTCCAATACTTGAACCTTGAGAGACACAGTTCAGTCAATCTACAGCAGCTTGTAAGACACAAAAAGAGTTCCTGGTACATGGTTGCTATGGTTATGTTGCTGTATGAAGAAATAAGTGTGAAAATCATGTGGGTATGTGTAGGAAAAACTGAGCTTATAAAGACCAAAGTTTAAGACCCAGCTGAAAGCCTTGGGTATATATCCACTGTCAATAAGAAAAGAGGAGATTGATCAAATTAGACACTTAAAGCAAAGTCTTTAACATTTTAATTTTTTACACATTCTGAAATTTTAAGCTACTTGATAATGGGTAATGTATTTTCTGTTTTTCATATTCCTTTTAGCCTACAGTATAGTGCTAGACACAGAGTAGATGCTTAATAAATATTTGCTGATTGCTGTGGCTTTTTAAAGCTTTGTGCTGAGGATTTTCTGTCTCCTGTAAAACAGATTTTTGTTTCTTAGTGGCTTTTTTTCTTTTTTTTAACTCCATGTGAATAGTAAGATGTTAGGTTGGATTATCATACACTTAAGTCATCTTTCAGAAGGATTACTTTAAAATATAGATTAAAATTATTATTATTATAAAGGTAGATTTAAAAAATTCTTCTCACCTAGCCTACAATCAAATAATTCAGCTCTTAACATCTTGTTCCATATATATCATGAGTAGGCCATTACTTATGGAGTATGACCACATGGACCTCTGACACATATGGGAGGTTCTTCTCAAATGACAGCCTTCTGAATTTATGTTGTGTACTTGATTCTCTCCAGGAGATGTACGCGTAAGGAGCCGAGCAGGATTTGAATCTGAAAGAAGAGGTTCTCATCCGTATATTGATTTTCGTATTTTTCACTGTAAGTTGGCAGTCGTAATGTTTCTTTCAGACTTTCATTAAACTTTAAGTCCTCACAAAATTATGTGTTTTCCAAGGGAAAAAGAATACAAGAAAAAACCATATCTTGTTTGGAATTTTAAAAAATAGTATGGTTGGCTGGTTAGCGCAGTTGGTTAGAGCATAATGCTGGAAACACCAAGGTCTGGGATTCAATCCCTGTACCAGCCAGCTGCCAAAAAACAATATCACAGAAAACTAGATCATGATAAATGACACTATTTCTAGATAATGTTAATAGACAATTAGAAGAGGAAGGTATTAAAATATGAAAGCTGATAAAGCTTTTCTTTTTTCTAATTTAAATGTGAAATTACTTTGGTACACGTTTTCCTTCTTTAAAAATACATTTTTTAAAAAGTTGTTTTATCTTAAGTGGTTTGCCTTCACTATTCCAAATAAAATGTTTTTGTGCAAATGATATCTTATAAAAGTATTTCAGTGGTTTAACAAGGTGTTATCCTTTTGGTTTATTTGAAAAAATAAATTGCCTTTAAAGATACTTGGTGGAATGCATATTTCAAAAACAAACATTCTCTGTGGGTCTGGCCTGTAAGGAAGGGAAAGGGAAAAAACAGAACGTCTTAAATGTTAAACACATTAAATCTGTTTTTGGTGGAGTTCCACTTTTGGTAATGTTGGATAAAGTAATTTGGATTAACACTTGAACTTAAAAAAAAATGAGAGAAACTAGACAAAATATAAAAACAATGCTATTAAGGCAGAGGGTTAAGCCTAGCATTTAGGCCACTTTCCCTTGAGTCTGGGAAAGATTGATGAGAAGCTGAGCAGAGCTTTTGATGGACTTAAGGCAAGAGAAACAAAAGCAGATGTTTAGTGCTCACCTTGGTTGTGGGGTTGGTGCTGGTAAAACCCCATACTTAGGTTGGAACCCCAAAATGCCACACCTTAGAAATAAATCCCATCTTTGAAATAGCTCAATCACTGATTTCATTAAAGTGATCTGTGATTGTAGTACCTCTAGCTACCTGCTGGAGAGAGATGTTACTCATCCCTCAAGGTTGCTTGTTGCAAACACAACCCTGAAAAATGGCCCAGGTAAAGACGGGTAAAGGCTTTGCATTCTTGGCACACCCAGTAAGAATGTGCAGGGACATGCAAGGCCCCCATGGAGGATTAGCTCTCCCATTAGTGACGAATGACACCAAAACTTAATAACATAAAACAACCACCTTTTTATATGCTCATGGGTTCCTAGAGTCAGTAATTCAGTCAGGGTACATCAGATTTGGGTTGTCTGTGCTCTACAATGTGTTAGTCTTTAGTTGGAATGGTTTGAACAGCTAGAGATGGTTGGGACAGCTCCACTGGGTCTGTATGTCCAGAGCCTTAGTTCTCCTCATGTCATCTCTTGGGGCTGGAACCTCCAGGATGGCTTCTGCACTCTTAGGTCTGGTGCCAGTGCTGGGAAGACTGGAATTTCTGGGGCTGACCAGCATTTCTCTCTCCATAAATGGCAGCCTCAGAGTAATTGGACTTCTTACATGGTAGCTGCCTTCTCCCAGAGTAAGCATTTCAAGAGAGAGGAAGCATGGGAACTCCTAGTCTTTGAAGGTCTGGGTCCAGATTCTGGCATAGTATCACATTTCCATATTCTGTTGATCATCGAGGTCCCACAGCTTGCTCAGGTTCATGGAGACAGACCCCAGCTGTCAAAGACAGTAAGGTCAAAAAGTTTTTAATCTTCCGTCTTTAATATGGCATAAAATGTGTTGAAAAAGTAACTAGGTTCCTAGAAAGAGAAGAGAGGGAGAATGTAGCAGAAGCAGTCTTTGGAGAGATAATGGCTAAGGAACCTTTAAAATTTGATGAAGGTCATTGAAGCACAGATTCAAGAAGCATTACAAATCTCAAGCTGAGTAACATTAAAAGAAAATCATACCTAGGTATACCATAGTATAACTGTGAAAACCAAAATTAAAGAGAAAATGTTAAAAGTAGTGAGAGAAGAAAAAATATTACCTTCAAAAGAGCAATTATGAGATTGCCAGAAACAGATTCTTTTTCGTTGTCAGCAGAAACCAAGAAGCTAGAAGACAAAGAAAAGATAGCTGCGATGTGCTAGAAAAAATACATAACTGTCAAACTAAAATGTCATCCACAGACTCTTCTTGAGAATAGGAGAAAAAAGACATACTTCACAATTTATTATGTAAGGCCAGTATTGTCTTGATAGTACAGTCTGACAAGGATATGACAAAAACAGAAAATTATAGCCAAATCACTCATGAATATAGATGAGACATCCTACATAACATCTTATCAAATTAAATCTGTAATATGTGGGAAGAATAGTATATTTTGATGCAATTTGTATTTTTCCAGGAATGTAAGGTTGGATTAATATTGAAAAATCAATTTTCTTCATTACATTAATAGAATAAGAGAAAAATTATGGATAGACCAATATGCTAAATGCCAATATGACCAAATGCTAAAAAAGCATTTGATAAAATCCAACAGTTGTTCTTTGTCAAAATTCTGAGCAAGTTAGAAATAGAGAAAAATTTAAGTAATCTGAAAAAGGGTACCTACAAAACCTAAAGCAAACATCATATTTAGTGGTACAATATTGAAACTTTCTGACATGAGAAATCAAGAATGTGATTTATCACCTTTTCTATTCAGTATTATTTTGGAGATCCTAGCCAGTACAATAATGCAAGAAAGAAAAAAACGAAAGATATAAGGATTAGAAAATAAAAAGTAAAACGATCACTTATGGATGACGTCATTATGCACTTAGAATATTATTAGGATTAATAAGTGAATTTAGCAAGTTTGCTGGATACAAAGTTAACACGTAGTTGTATTTCTTAAAGCGGCATTGGTGAAGATGAGATAATATATACTTTAAATATGTACGCCAAAACATCAAATATGTAGGGATAAATCTAATTACAAATACGTGCAACTTTCATAGAAAACTATAAGACATTGTAGAGAAAAATTAAAGATGACCTAAATAAATGAAAGTATATACTATTGTTCATGGATTAGAAGATTCAGTATTTAAAGATGCTGATTTTCTCAAATTGACCTATAGATTTAGTGAAATCATAGTGACAATCCCAGCAGGTTTTTTGTTAGAATAAGCATGCTGATTCTAAAACTTATATAAAAATTGAGAAAATCAAGAACAACCAAAACAATAAGAAAAACAACCAAATTATAGAATTTACTTCTCCTAGATAGCAAAACTTATTAAAATTAATAATTAAGTCAGGGTGATACTAGTTCAAATACTGACAAATAGAATTATGGCACATTATATAGTACAGAAGTAGACCCACACAAATACGGGTATTTGATTTGTGACAAATACGGTAATGCTGTGGGTAGAAGACAAATGGTGCCAAGTCAGGCTGATATCAATATGGGGAAAAAATTAATCTTGATTTCTGTTCACACCATATGTGAAAAAGTCAAATTTTGGTGGGTTGACTTTGCCAAATTATGCTGATAACTCAGATAAGATGAGGAATGAGAATTGATTTAGCAGTATGGAGGTGGTGGTAGGGGAAGACTGAAATTAGAGTGGATTTAAGAGAGAACAAGAAGACAGGAATTAGATATAGCAAGTCAGACATCTCTTTAAGTGAGTTTTGCGGCAAAGAAAAGGAAAGAAATAGAGAAGCAGCTGACAGGGAAAGTAGGATCACAGAAGCTAAAATTAATAGCAAAGCAAGAAAAAAAAGACCTGGCCACCTGGAAATTTTCTTGGGTCAAAGAGGCAGACTATAAAAAGATGATAATGAAAGACTATATATGAAAATATATGAAATTTAGCTAAAACGATGCTAAGGAAAATTCATAGCCTTAAAAATACTTATATTCACAAATAAGAAAGAATGAAATAAGTCAACTAAGTGGCCCCACACAAAAAATTAGAAAAAGAATTACAAAATACACCTAAGAAAAGGTGAAGAAAGCAAATAGTAATTATAAAAAACAGAAATTAGGGCCGGCCCGGTGGCGCACTGGATAGTGCGCCGCTTGGGAAGCGTAATATATGAAATTTAGCTAAAACGATGCTAAGGAAAATTCATAGCCTTAAAAATACTTATATTCACAAATAAGAAAGAATGAAATAAGTCAACTAAGTGGCCCCACACAAAAAATTAGAAAAAGAATTACAAAATACACCTAAGAGAAGGTGAAGAAAGCAAATAGTAATTATAAAAAACAGAAATTAATGAATTAGAAATCTAAAATAAGAATAGAACTACCTAAATAAACTAAGAGCTAGTTGTTTACAATAAAGTAGATAAATATCTAGCTAACATAAAGGATTAAATGGAGCTAATGTGCATATTCAAAATAACAAATAAGAGGGGAAAACCTCACAGATACAGAGGAAAGTAAAGAATCAAAATAGACTATTTTGCTTGACTTTAAAAATATATTTGAATACATGTATGATCCAGAAAATTTTCTTGAAAGCTATAATTTATCAAAACTCAATATAGAAAATATAGATAAACTAAACAAGCAATACTCCAAGTGTGTTCTGGGTCCTCAAGAGCCTCTTAGGTGAAAGAAAGATACAACAATCACAATAATACGTTGAACTTTCAAAAGGAGAGAACAGAACTGAGGTTACCAGAGGTGCAAAAGGAGGAGGGGAGCAAGGAGGAATTGATAAAGGGTCACGAAGAACGATTACATTGTGTAATGTTGAATATGCTAATTATTCTGATTTGAACATCACTTGTTGCACACAGGGATTGATATTTAACTCTGTACTTACAGATATGTATAATCAATTATGTTACAATAAAACAAACAAACAAAAAGACCCTTTTAGGGATCTGTGATGTTAAAACTATTTGCATTATAATCCTAAGACGTTGTTTGCCTTCTCCACTCTTATTCTCTCTCAAGGGTACAGTGGAGTTTCCTGAGACTACATGATGTGCAATATCTCAACATATTGAATGT